GCCGCAACTCGTCGGTTCGCGTAAAGGAGGCACGGCAGTGTCGCTTCGCGCAGCTCAGCGCCGAGACATTACCAGTGTCTCCAGATTGCTGATTGTGTTAATCGTTGATTCAGTTAATCGGCGTTAGTAACAGTCACCCTGAGTAGTGTTAATCAATCTTGCCTTGCATTAATTGGCAGTTACACGAACTATTTATTTCTTATACATGCACTATATTACTGTAATGATTATAATAGCAACGCCGATTAACTTAATTGACGATTAACTCAATCATCAGACTTGCTATTATAGATAATAACACAATCAGCAGTCTTGCTATTATAGACAGAAGGTTTTCATCATTACTTTCATCACAGTTAAGTAGGAATGCAGAGATATCACGCACTAGCGAATAATCAAGCATTGATGCAGCGTGATTCGATTTAACTTTTTTGAGGCGTCCGTTAATGATATTGTTCCTAATGTATGAAGAATCATCGTCCTTGATAGTTTGCAATTTAGCAGGCACAGGAAAAAATATCTGGCATTGTATATGATCTCGGATTTCTCTTCGAAAAATGCAGCGCAGCATAAATGGCAGTTTAAGCAGCACAAATCTAAGACTCTTTATTTTTTTAAGTGTATGTATATCTTATATATAACCTGAAAATGAATTTCGTAAAAAAAGCTTCTCGTATATAATAATAATAATCAGATAATTTGTGGGAGGAATAAAATTACATACAACATGCAATAGTCCTGACAGACTTGGAAAATTGTTCGTTGCAGATAAACACACACACACACACACACACACACACACACACGCGCGCGCGCGCGCGCGCAGAGAGAGAGAGATTTGAAAGTTCCAAATTTTATTCCAAACATTCTTTCGTAAATTCCATATTTGATTGTTCCAAACTTCCTTTCGTAAATTCCATTTGAGATCTTCTTGACGTTTACTGAATTGGTTCATTAATTATTAAACTCATATATAATAATGATTAGATAATGTGTTTGAGAAAAATCTTCTCGACGTTTTCTGGATGGATTTATTAATAAAAGATTTACTTTACCACAAGGAAACCTCGACAAGAAATGCATCATGAAAGGTAAAAATTTGCCTCGCGATGATTGTTATATTAAAATGCTCTGCTGTAATCTATACCACCATCGATGTGACGGTTTTCCTAACCTGAAGTCATCAACTTTTAAGATTAATATCTCGGTCCACGGGGTAATTTTTCTTGCCAGATTTGTTCATTTCGTACAAAAACGTGTCGAGTAAGTCTAAAAAAAATTGTGTATTGCCGAAGCAGAAAATCACTTACGTTTTTCTCTATTACCATCGATGTGACGGACCTAACCCTAACCAAAAGTATATACACTAATATCATTTTCGGCCCGGCCAGGTTTGCACCAATTTGGGTTGGATAAATGGCATTTTGTGCTCTCCTATTGGTAAAGCTGGTGACGTCAACCTATAGGAAACATTAATCCAACCCAGGTTAGGTTGGTGCAGACCCGATCGGGCCGAAAACGCTATAAGGCTACGTATCATATATGTAATACTACTATATGGCTAATGGGACGTGGTTTATATGAGTGCGACAAGAAGAAACATAGAAGGATAGTAGATGTTCAATCGTTCAAATGCGCAGGCGCCGCGTTAAATTCAAGAGCTTTATTAAGCAAAATTAGTTACTTTGTATTTAATACAAAACAAGATGTTAGCAATAGTTTATTACTCTCTAAATCTGAACCAGTGGATAATCACTGATATCAGTGCCAAGTATGCCATTGGTAATCAGTGGGTGAAATGTGAAATTCCTAACCTAGCTAACCTTTATTGTGTAGGCAAATATTTCCATTTTTTGTTTGTTTCTTATTGCATAAATAACAATACCTCACCATTTTTTAATTGAAAGGCTGATCTGACAATACTTATAACTGACTGTAATAACCTGCAATATATCACATGTGACACTTATCGCGCGACATTGACGCCTGCGCGTTACAACAGACTGAACATGATAAGGACAGAATTAGCATTGGCGGCACCGTAGTGTTTCGACCGCAAACCACGCCCCATTAGCCATATAGTAGTATTACATATATGCTACGTATCCACCGAGCGCGTCACGCGTCGTGTCGCGGTGGACGACGCGTGACGCGTTCAGTGGATATGTACCTTAATAATTAGTCGTGTCTCCAGATCGCAGCACACGCTGATATATCACTATTAGCGCTCCTTGCGTATTGCGTAATAATTGCGTAAAGAATGTCAGAAGGACACGAAACTAGCGCTCTTTGCGTAAAGAATGTCAGAAGGACATCAAAGGAATGCGCGGAATGTGGTCGACGACAATAATAATGACAATAAGGACGACGTATCTGAAAAATGGACTGAAAAAGTAGCAGTTTAGAACTTTGCATCGCGATATTTCTGCTCGTAGGGCACGTAGAAAAAAAATAAAAGCACTTTTATCATACAACCCGTGTGGTGGCTATCGATTGAGCATACATAGAACGCGATCGGTTCAGCCGTTATAGAGATTCGACAATCTCGATCTGCCGCAACTCGTCGGTTCGCGTAAAGGAGGCATGGCAGTGTCGCTTCGCGCAGCTTAGCGCCGAGACACTATTGTCTCCAGATAATATAAAGGTTAATCACAAAAATCTACAGTTTTTACATTTGTTGTAAAGAAGTGTACAATATAAACGTGTATAATATATAATATTCACTTGTTTCAATGTACACGTTCATATCTCTAATCTTTAACATTTATGTTATTGAAATAATCATTCATCTGATCTAACGATAATTCATGATAAGTTGAATTATTCACATCATGAATTTCAAATAAAGGAATCAAATAAAGGAATCGATTGTGTTGCCGCTTTGCTAATGACAATTATGTAAAGGATAATTCAATCGACGCACAAACACTAATCGTTTACCAATCGTGTAATGCAAGCGATCATCCAATATTGTATCAATATTGCGTTTGTAGAAGAATATCTTAAATAGCTGTTCAATATAGGCCGATGTACTTTCTTCTTTGCTTCCAGCCTGTAAATTTCAAGATAGAACATTCTTTATAATAGATACAGCTATATTTTTTATTGTTCTTACCTTTGGTGGTATGATGCATACTGTATATGATGCTAACTTTACAGGCCACCTCATCTCATCATTTATTGACAAGATTTCGACAACTAATGTAATGATACGATTTAATCCTAGACCGAAACAGCTCATTACCATAGGTGTCGGTTTATTCTGTTCTATAAACATCGCTTCTAATGGCTGTGAATATTTTGTGTCTAATAAAAATGTATGGCCTACCTGCAATTATCGTTTATGCAATGTAATATATTTTTTATAACGTTCGCATGCTTATACCTTTAATTTGTATCAATTAGTTGTTAAATAAAATAAAATTTTTTAAAGAAATTTTGGACAACTCGTCGTTTTAGAAAATACTTTGATTAATAGAGAAATTGCACGATGGACACTGAAGTATCGTATCTTCACCAATATCAGACACATAATGATATTCATGTGACATCAGACCTCCAATTGTTCCCACATCACCTATGCTTTTTAATAATCATCATTAAATAATTCTATAAGTCGTTCCAAAGTTGGTAACTGTATGTCTATAAAACACGTAGATTCTAATATACAATTAGAAATGTTAATTATTTTTTGTATACTTTATACCAATCTGCCTAAAAATATTATTATAAGACTCGCAGACTAAATCATACGTATGTCGTGCATTGTCCAAGCTAGTATCAAACGTATACAAATCCTTCATGCAAATTCTTGGCTACGTAGGAAACCAAGCCGTGGTTCCATTTCATCTTGCCATTTGCTAGAATTTGATATAACTTCAAAGGTAATAATTTATTGGAAATCTGGACAGTTTGTCCTGCTGACGATATCAAATCACATTGCTTCTTCATGTGTCTATAACAACATAAAATTATTTGAGATTTCAGATAAACAAAAAAAATGGATATATTGGTGTAAAAAATTCACCTTATTAGTTAACAGCTTTTTTAAGTAATTTCTACTAATCGAAATAATCTAAAAAATAATTTTTCAGATTTTCTTCAAACGGTTTTGTTGGAATTATATCTATAATAAATTAACGTGATAGAATGTACGTACAAGGTCGAACCTCCCTCGAAGTTGATAAATATTCGATGCATTTTTGCACTACCGCGAACCAAGTTATTAATTGTTATAATTATTAAAGTTGACAGATATCCAGAGGAAATCTGTTGCATCGATGGCATAAAGGATTAAACAATTCTGCTTTACAGACAAATATTTAATCCTAACCTGAATAGTCCCTTACGGAAAAATACTATTAAGAATCAATAGTTACTATTGGTGTTCCAGTAGTTACTACTGAGACTCCAGTAGTTATTACTGAGACTACAGTAGTTACTATTGAGGCTCCAATAGTTACTGTTATGACTCCAATAGTTTGAACTTCGGAGAACCTGAAAATAATTATTATATTAACACCAGATTCAAGGGGAAAAATTGATACATAAATAAAGTAAGTAAAGTAAATAAAAATCATTTGTGCATCATTATAAAATTACTGTCAGTTATGTTTTAAGTATTTATTTATGAAATTAATTCCAAATTGGATCAAACACGAATAGTATTGCACCATAAAACGTTAATTAGATTATATTTTTCATCATAACATTTGTTATCATGAGATATACAACGCATGGTGGAATGGGGGAAACGGTACCAAGATCATAAATGTTTATAACGAAAAATATATTCTAATTAACGTTTTATGGTGCAATATTGTTCGTATTTGATCCATTTTGGAATTAATTTCATAAATAAATTATTAAAACATAACTAACAGTGATTTTTTTATAACTAGGCGAATAAGGATTTTATTCACCTTTATATCAATGTACCAATTTTTCTTAGGTCTGGCGTTATTATAATGATTATTTTTTATTTTTACGAAGAAAAATACGTAAGAAAACATAGAAAACATAGAAAAATATATAAGAAAACATAGAAATAAAACAATCCCCGTGTGGTCGCGCGAAACCTTCGAAAATTTGTGTACAATGTATACTCTACTCCTTTCTATTGATCAATAGTAACTATTGACCAACAGTAATTATTGACCAACAGTTATTATTGACCAACAGTAATTATTTATCAACAGTAACTATTGACCAACAATAACTATTGACCAACAGTAACTATTGGCCAACAGTAACTATTGATCAACAGTAACTATTGGCGAACAGTACCAACTATTAGCCAAATTACTATTAGCCATTTTACTATTTATTAATAGTTTTTTTCCGTAAGGGGTGATCAACTTTAACGATCTCGGTCCACGGGGTAAATAGCGCCGAGACACTACCAGTGTCTCCAGATACATTTTTTTACCAGATTCGTTCATTTTGTGCAAAAACGTGTCGACCAAGTCTAATTTGTGTATGTAGAAGCAGAAAATCACTTACGTGTCCTCAATGCCATGCCATAGATGTGACAGTTTTCCTAACCTAATCATCAGCCACAGAAAACAGACACATGTGATGTGACCATGCACATTGCCAGCGCCACATTTGCCTCTTGCGTCAAAAATTCCAAAAGGACATTTCCCCCATCCCATAGCCCTGTCGACGACGACGACGTTTCTTAAAATAAAAGTTTCAGGTTCGGATTTTGCATCATTTTGCATCGCAATATCTCCGCTCGTAGAGCATGTAGAGAAAAAACAAAAACACTTTCATTATATATTCTGAGCGGATGCAATCGATTGAGCATACTTAGAACTCAATCGGGACAGCCGTTATTGAGATCCCATAATCGCCGTCTGGAAATCTTGACAGATTCGCGTAAAGGAGGCACGGCAGTGTCGCTGCGCTTGGCTTAGCGCTGAGACACTACCAGTATCTCCAGATACCACGTTTATAATCTCTCGAATTACGCGTCGAATTAATTGTTCGGCCTTTATAGAGACACAACTGAATTACCATAGTAATATCACAAATTAAATTGCTTAGCAATTAATAATTTTATGCTTAAATTGCATCATTTTAAGAAGATCTGTAAATGAATTTATTGCAAAAAATATTATCTTGGTCGAGAAACCCGGATCTCTAAGTTTGGAAAATCAATTCGACGTGCAATTCGAGAAATTACCCAAGTAGCACAGCAGCTTGCAAAGAACAAAACAAGCGATTATATGCGCTTTTTTAGCATTTTGTTAATGCTTTGTAAACGTTATGTGCTATTTGGGTACAAACGTGGTATATAAATTCACACGAAAATATTTAAAGCATTCGAAATCCAACTTCGACCGGTATAGGCATTGCTTCTTACTTATTGACCTTATTGTATATTAAAATAATTATAGTTATATTTTTTTAAATTTACGATAACGCATTTTAGAACTGCCTGATAATCGTATAAATGATTAGAAATGCATTTTCGGATTGAAGATTCACTTTAACGCACACGAAAGTGTTTTTCTGAAGAACTGAATCCATTTTAATCCATTCTCATTTACTGAGTAGCGTTGACAGGTTATTTCTCTGCAAGGATATTATCTTGATAGTTAATAAATCTTTTATATAAATCGAAGTAAGATTCCTTGTATAAAATTAATTAAAAAGACAAGTAAATTAGGACAATTAGGAATCGGTGTTATAATTAGTGCGCTTAAATAACTAATAGACCTTAGTGTCTTGAAATGTACATACATGCATTAATATGAAATACATTTCAAGACATTAAGGTCTGTTAGTTATCTAAGCGCACCAATTACAGTGCTGATTCTTAATTGCCCTAAATTTACTTGTTTTTTAAATTAATAAATCCTTTATTTTCTTTTGCTATGAACATTTAAAACACAAAACAACGCACGAAACGGGAGAAAGTTTTCAGTTCTTTTCTGACAATTTTTTCTCACGAATTTTTTCATAGAAAATAGAGATTTATCTCAGCAATCTTCAAAATGCTTGTGTGATATAAATTAAGTAATGAACAATAAAATAAATTTCTCTCAGGAAGAACGCTGAAATTTTGTTCCATTCATGTCGTCAAGTTAAAAAATTCCGTGTGCCTTGGAGTTGCTCAAGCAGCAAAGGGAATAAAATGATTTAGATACGTACTTTGAGAATAAAGCTGGCCGTCGAGCTCTTGGCGATGGGACTCTGCCCGGTAGATGGATACCCATGACCGTGTGCGCTGAAGTAACCACCTATCTTCGGCTTAATGTGTCGGTTATGCATCTCCATGTGCACTATCTTCATGAATTCGATTCGTGCGGCTAATTTCTGAATCTCCTCCTATCACAATACGCAAAAGTTAATATGGGGTAAAAAAATGAAATTTCAAAATCGAATTTGATTACGTTACCGATACCGTTTTGCATCACATAGAGCGATGTAAGTATAAGGAGGACATAAACATACAAGTACCTTAAGTTCTTCATTTTCCTGGTACAAATCTGTTGTCTCCTCCGGTACTAAACCGATTCCGTTCAAGGAAAAGCTTGCAGTGACGCCACGTGCCCTTGCTCGACTGTCCCACTGATCCCCCTGACCTCGCAATACTCTGATTACCTAAACACCCACGCCGAATGGAAATAAATCAATTAATTATCGCTACTTAATCAGGGAGGACAAAAAGAACGAATATTGAAAAGACCGACCTGTGTTAAAGAAGGATGTTAAGTTAGGGCTGTTTCTCGGCCAAGATGAGAAAGTTCCGAGATATACAAATTATAATATTATATTAAAAGACTACTTAAACAGAGTCGAATATCGCTTAGCTTGGGGACATTGGAAACGTGGCAATCGTTATCAAAAACAATAAAATTAAAAATTGTTAAATAAGATATCAATTTATTTCGCAATTAAGCAGCAAAAACTGCATTGTTATAATATTATTTAATCACGATAACTTGATAAGCATTGGTATTCAACACTAGAATAGGAAACCAAACGATTATTTGTATCGGACACTTTGTCGTTTGTCAATCGCTTGAAAATTCTCCTCTAAATTAAATGTGTTTAAGCAACAAAAACATTTGTTATTTAATTTCCAGGACATCTTAATGTCTTAGTTAACAATTTTTTATTGATCAATGTGATAACGTTAGCTTTATTATAACTTTTTATCACGATTTCTCTCATGTTTTCCCAATGTTTTCCTGAATGATATATCACTCGACTCTGCTTAAATACTCCTTTAATATGATAAATAATTTGTACATCTCGGAAGTTTTTCATTTTAGCCGAAAAACAGCCCTAATTTATCCTCCTTTATGGGAACAAAATTATTTTTCGCACAGTTGTTACAAAATTAAAAAATTAGTCTTTTTAGTGTCTATAATGATAAAATCCGTTCGTCTAGTTTGACGGACTTTATTTGTCGTAATTGTCTTACTTTAGGACCGAATACGAGGAAGACCGTAACGGACGTCGAAAGTTGAGTCCGCAGAAAGCCTAACAGGTATTTGATGTTCGGTCCGGCACGAGGAAATATGAAGAGACTGCGGACAACGTTGTTCTACATGATACATAATGTTTCGTCGCAAAACGTATTTCATATGTAATAATATGCATTGCATTGACTACGTACTGAATGGCTATCATGGTTATATTCACCGCGGCTATATTGTAAATGGCGTAACTTATCAAACGAGCCTCGTTAAACAGACTCTCCGCATTTCGCACGTTGTAACATACCTTTATGCCCCAAGCGAGGAAGAGAATTTCACCTTAAAACAGAATTATTCACTCAAATTATTTCACCAACTCGTTAAAAATTGCGATCGTTTTCGTATATTTACCGATAGCCAAGCTGTGGTCCCACCAGTTGTACGAACACTGGTAAAACTTTAAGTCGTGATTATCTGCGATTACTTCTGCGTAAGGCGGCGCGCTGACAGTCCAAGTTCCGAGATAGATCAGCATTACCAGCAAAATGGGCACCATCCATTGCAGCAACTGTTTGTCCGTCAGCTTAACTTTGTGGGCGCTTTTTACCCGATACGTAAGCGAAACCCTGACAAGAGACATTTATTCGATAATAAATGATTTACTAGTACCGTACAATGTGAATACACATCAAGTAAAAAACGAAACCTATACCGATCGAATCAAGATCATAAATGCTTTAAATAATTACATGTGAATTTATATAACCTAATAAATCGTTTATTATTGTTCATACATGCTGTCTAAAAAATGCGTATGTTACTACATATTAGTTATTACGAAGAATATTACTATAGCCTCGGTAGTCTAAAGGCTTAGGACGCTCGCACGAAATCCGAATTTGACTCCCCAGAGATAATATTTTCCTATAAATAAATTTATTTACAAATTTTCGTTACATTAAAATTTCTTTATTATAAAACGATTGCAATTGAACAACTATTTATGAAGTTGCTTGTCAAATTAATTTGTGATATTTCGGTAGTAGGTCGGTTGCGTTTCTATAATAAGTCCGAAAAATTACTTCGGTGCGCAATTCAAGAGAAATCGTGATATATAAATTCACGTGTAATTATTTAAAGTACTTAAGATTCAGCTTCGATTAGTATAGACTTCGCTTTTTACTTATGTATTCATTTTATTCGATTTTTCCATCATTGCAGGTAGCAATCATGAAAACCGAAATACTGAAGATGGTCTAAGTCTAATCACGGAAAATTTACTAAAGTGCAATACCTCATCATTGATTTCTCTAAAAAAAAGAGCCCAGTAATTATATTTTGGGATCGAGAATTTCTTCATTGCATTCAGAAATTTTCTTGAACGCAATACAATAGCTTTTATTTCGTTTTCCTCGAATCCAATTACGTGACTCGATCTATATACATATTTTCAACAACACGAGAGCGTTTATCGTAGCTGTTTACCGCCAGGTTTTCATCAGCAACGCCGTATACGAGACGCAAAATCCCATATGCCTCGTCCACTTTGTGGCAATACACGAATACATATCGAGAACTGGGAATATAGCAGCCATCTACAGCAGAATTCTTGATTAGTATATTAATGCAAACGTAAAAAAAAAAGGAAAGAATAGAACGTTCTTCCAATTTACCTCGAGATACATCAAGGCGCAACCCAGAAGCGTAATAGATAGAAATATCGGGGAAGCTACCTTGAATACCTTTAGTTTACGGTGCTGATACATATACGCCACCAGGACGATGGTACCGAACGCGCAGAAAATTGAAACGGCTAGTAGTGAGATTCTTAAAAAACAACACGCAATTTAAAAATAACGACATGGAACAATAAGATCAATAAAAAAAGTACGGACTTCTTAAAAGTACCTAAACGGCCAGTTGTACGTCGCCAAGCAAGGCTCAGGGCCTTTGCATCTCGCGCATCCCGGTGCGCAACGCAGACATAGAAATATCTTCTCATAGGAGTCACTCTTGTTTTCCCTCATTTCCTTCCACGCAGCTATAATAAATACAAATGAAAAATTAGATTCACGACAACTGACGAATAACAATAAATGATTCTGACCTTCCACAAGAATTCCTTCGAAACCCGTTAGATGATGTCTGATGCTGTAAAAGCCTTGCCTACACTTACACACATACGCGCCTTTCGTCCAACCGGCGCCTACTCCATTGTGGTTTACTCGGCTGCCAGACCCCTGATACACGCACTAAACAAAAAATTGATGTGTGTTTTCGCTTTTTATTATTTCCGTTAAAATGATAATCGCGAAATATGTTTCACAAGCTTTTATATAGAAGTTTGTGGTACGTTTATAATATGGTCACTGTGTGATCACAAAAATTTTTTAAAGGGCATATGGGTTTGGTTGTATTGGGGACATGGCCCACTATCATTTCCCCAAAGGATTTGGTAAAGTTAGATCGTATAAGAATGGGGTATAAATTTGAAGTTATTAATTTTGAGGAGTACCAGTAGTGCTATTCTTAAGGTTTTGAGGTCAAATATGATTACAAATATACACGTGCGCGCGCGCACACACACGCACGCACAAACGTTATAGATTACATTAATGTCTTTTAAATTTATTCAGCAATTGATCAGCAGAAATCAGAAATCATAGAATGTAGAGATTTTCCTTTGTATCGACATCGACATTCCATCTGCATGATTTGTTGATGAAATTTTTCACCTTGTTCGTCTGACTCTGCAGCAAATTGCTTTTCAAAGAATTCAAGGTGATGATGTAAGAAATGGATTTTCAATGACATATTAACGCCGATATATTCTCAAAAGCGGTCATCATATCATCTACTAATATACGGTAGTTTTCAACTCAATGTTTCCCGAGAAAATTTGAAATCACGGCCTTCACGCAATCCCATGCAATGAGTTCGTTTTGATTCAGACATTTATTAAAAGCGTCATCGTTCATTAGTTTACGAATATCTGGCTCGTTAAATACTCCTAAAGGCAAAACACATAAAAACATTAGACTCAGATTAATAGCTATTAATTAACTATAGCTACAGTTGAATTGCAAAACATTGTATATCTTCTTTTGTTTTGGCAGCGTTTAATGCCGGAAATTTCTTGCATAAGTATTGAAACACCGACGCACTGCGATTGATTACCTTTACAAAATTCTTTACGATTCCTAACTTAATATGTAGTGGAGGCATAAGGATTTTTTCCAGTGGTACGAGTACTATATGTGAAATATTTTTTATACCACACACACACGCGCGCGCGCACACACACACACACACACACACAACACGACGTTGTGTACGCTTTGGCCAATCTTTTTTCTGATACTGATTGCCTACATATCTGCTGTCTCACATGCAATCGAAACAGAAATGTTTTGTGTAACCAAGCTGCATGCCTGTTAATAGAGCTACTACTTTCAAGTCGCACATGACACGCCACAAGTGACCTTTATAGCTAATCTTTTCCAAAATAAATTGCATTGTATCATATGTTTCCTTCATTTCGATTGCATATAGCAAAGGAACAGGATGTTTGCTATTGTCAAAATACAATAGAATAGCTTTGAGGCTACGTTTCGACGAGTCAATGAAAAGACACCACTGGTTTGCATTGTATGTACCATTCAATCTCTTGACTAGTCCTTCGATATTGTTAGAGTACACACATTTTCCATCTTCAGTCAAAGTGAAATATTCCAAAAATTCTTTTTGAAAGCTTTCGATAGCGTTTCATTTTAATGACAACACTTTATGACACTTTAAGGCGCGATAACATGGTTCTTTTTCAGTTCTGAAATGAGTATTTCCGATTGTCGCTGAGATAGATGTAATTTTCGCACAATTGTATCTAAACGTTGTTGTCCAACGAATGACGGTAACGTTGACTTATCGTTTGGTGTGTACACTGATCCACTAGTGCCACTAGTACCAGCGGTTAAATTTTTCAAAATGGTTGCAGTGCTTTTGCTTGTACTCGGACACGTCGGAACTGGATACTGGTCGGAATGCGCGATTGGCCGTGTGTGGCACTTGAGACATTTTTATACACAAATGCTTTTCTTTTTTTTCTGTTCAAACGTACTTTGTATATATCATTAGTACAAGCATAACAATCTTCTTCAGTATGCTTCTCTATTTCTGACCACAAAATTGGCACAGCAAATGTTAAAGAAGTGCGTTTTCTATCCCACCATGCTTTTAGAGCGACCAAACACGTTTTGCAAGTAAATTTTGGTGCCCACGGCACATTTCTATACACGCTGACACCAAAATAAAATTTGTATGCTTCCTCAATAGTTTCATTCATAATCCTTTTATGCTCTGGTACTACAAATGTACCGTACACGTAACAAAATGAATCGATTTTTTGTTTTTCGACACAATCCAACATTCTTATATTTATACAGGGTGACCCATCTTAACTTAGACAGCCAAATAACTCGAAACATCGTGATTAAATAAAAAAATGTTTAACACAAAAATTGTTGGATATGAAGGGGCTGATTGAACTATGACCTTGACCTTCATTTTCAAGGTTATTTGAAGGTCTACTTTCAATTTTCAAATAGAAACCCATATTTTTGATCCCGGATTTTGAAAGAGCGCAAAATTTTACGTACAGATGAACTTTCATGTTATGGTTCAAAGTTGACCATAGAGGTCATTTCAAAGACAAATTCCTAATCGAAGCAGAAAGCAAAAAAATCTTGATTTTTCCCGGATAGTGTTTGTGAGAAAAATTGTTGGATGTTGAGGGGAGACCAAACCATGACCCTGACAATGTCCTTGAACCCATATTTTCATGACCATTTCAAGGTCAAGTGGGGATTTTTAATAAAATTTTATGCTACATATGTATTTTCTTGTTGTGATTCTTTAGATATTAGCATACCTTACCTCCAAAATCGAAAATTAAACTTTCCATCTGATAGAGTTCCTCTAAATATCTGGCTGGGTCATCACACGACCTTGCCTTCACTGGCTGGGTCACATACCTTCCCTAGGGGCTGTCGGACCTTGTAGATGGTGGGAAGGCTTAAGCGCTGAACCAAGGTAGCTGTGGGCCAGGGTTTTGCACTATGTGACTGGTGGGTCATCTCTTCACCGAGGTAAGTAGCCAGTTCTGTGTTAGGCCCCTTGGTTGTCTAGGTAAGTGCGAACCAACAAACAGCCCAACTCACGCTAGGTCGATTTAGAGGAAATTACTTTTATCCCCAACATAAAATTTTATTAAAAATCCCCACTTGACCTTGAAATGGTCATGAAAATATGGGTTCAAGGACATTGTCAGGGTCATGGTTTGGTCTCCCCTCGACATTCAACAATTTTTCTCACAAACACTATCCGGGAAAAATCAAGATTTTTTGGCTTTCTGCTTCGATTAGGAATTTGTCTTTGAAATGACCTCTATGGTCAACTTTGACCCATAACATGAAAGTTCATCTGGACATAAAATTTTGCGCTCTTTCAAAATCCGGGATCAAAAATATGGGTTTTTATTTGAAAATTGAAAGTAGACCTTCAAATAACCTTGAAAATGAAGGTCAAGGTTATTGTCAAGGTCATAGTTCAATCAGCCCCTTCATATCCAACAATTTTTGTTTTAAACATTTTTTTATTTAATCGCGATGTTTCGAGTTATTTGGCTGTCTAAGTTAAAATGGGTCACCCTGTATAACGCGTTACAAAGTAATACTGGTGCCTGATATGAAATGAACACATATCATATGCTATCTCTTGTATTTGCAAAACAAAGTTCGCGACGCATAAGTGTGAGTGCCGTGCGTATGCATGTATATGCGTGCATTTGTGATAATATTTGATCTCAAAGCCTTAAGAATAGCGCTACTGGTACTCTTCAAAATTAATAACTTCAAATTCTTCTACGATCTAACTTTTCCAAATTCTTTGGGGAAATGATAGTGGGCCACGTCCCCAACATAACCAAATCCACCCGCCTTTTAGAAAATTTTAAAAGTTGACATCGGTCACAAAGTGTAATATTTACTTGCGTGGTATCCATGTGACACTTGTGGGTGCCCTTAAAAAAGGCTATTTGATTGCTCGAGGCGGCCTCGAATTCGTCATTGTGATTTTGCATCAGGGTGTCGCACTGATTCACTTCTAATCCACTTATATCAATATCGATGCTGATAAATTCCCGTACTCTTCAATGAAAAAAAATATAAAAAAACGATGGTTCGGTTAGAACATTTATTTACTATGCACAAATCAAACAATTTTTTTACAAGTAGAAGCTGTATACTAACCCAGGTCGGACATCCAACGATTTCACGTTGACGCTATATGAGATGAGCCAACGGCGGGTCTTGCAGGAGAAATACGGAATGGTCCACCAACCCCTGTAGGATTCAATCGGCGGTGACTGCATGAATTTCGGTGACCTGGGATCACACGCAAACGCCACAAGCCGCCATAGAAACTTCGACATTTCTTTTAGTGAACACGTTCTTTTTCGTGCAACGAGTCATACGCCCGGCACTTCACGGTCATTCTGATATCGCTATGGTCGTTGATCGAAACGGCGATAAAAAGTTTCTGAATGTATTGTAAAATCGCAAATTTACATCGTTCGCGAAAGTCTATCGAGTTTCTATGACTTGACGCTCGTTCGGGATGAGGAGTGATGAATGATCGTGGAGCGCCTACAAGACTAGTACGATTACCTTTTAGCGAATTGTCTTGAACATATGGGTCTGTCCATCGTTATATCTGAATGTTTTTTTATGGATTTACATGGATTCGCATGATGGGTCGAAACGTTTATAATAATATTTATGTATCAGATAATAAATTATTATTCGCAACAATAACTTGCGTCGGCTTTTAGAGGCTTTTTACTTGTTATTGATTTATATCATTAGAGTCCATACAATTTTGTGATTGTTAATTAGCTTTATATGTTTGATAATCATATTAATTTCTTAATAATAATATTTATATTTTGCTGGCATTTGGACACAAAATATTCGGTAAATATATCATAATCATATTAGATTTGTCTTTAAAATACGCTTTATTAAAGAGATTAGAATTTAAATATCATAACTTTATTAAACAGTCTTTTAAAATCGTAATGTGAATACACGACAATATACGAACCAAATATCGATTTATTAACAGTCTTGAAAAGTGAATGAGCATATTCTCAGCGCAAAAGTAAATGTGTATATGCTCAGCAGAGAAAAGTAGATGTTTTTATTACATTGTATTACATAATATTTACATCCACTTCTTCAGAAGGCAATAGTGCGTGGCAGCATTTTGCGGTTACAGGGAAGAGTCCTTCATGTCCTCTCTCAGGTTTCTCTCTGTTAATAGCGTTTTTAGCCTGACCGGGTTTGCACTAACCCTGGATTGGAAAATGGTTTGCTACTGCATGGTTGACGTTACACGCTCTACCAATAGGAGAGCACGAAATATCATTAATTTGACCCAGGTTAGTATAAAACCGATCGGGCCAAAGACGCTATTAATTTCGGCAATACATTTAAGGAATGGTGATAATTCAATAGAAAGTTACTAATTAGTACGCTTATCAAGTGCTTGGTATAAACTAGGACAGTATATACCAGACCAAGGCCCATATTCTTGAGAAAAAAAAACATACAATATACTAGGGAAATTCTATAGTATATGTAACGTACGCTAGTATTTCCCTAATTTTTCGTACACATTTCTTTTCAAGAGTAAGGGTCCAGGTACGTATCGACCATGTAATAGACCAAGAGGCTACTGTAATAATTTTATTCCTCATAGTGACAAGTATGGGAAGTGGATAACCTTTTATTTCATGTGAAACATAAAAATATATACAGGGTGGCTGGAAATTAAATAACAAAATTTCGGGAGCGTGTAGAGGATCGATAAACTAACAAGGAAACGATCGGAACTGTCCATCACCGATTTGATGGGCTTTGAATATGTCGTAGAGCATCAAAAAATATTACACTCATATTTTTTTGTTTGTGCTTATCTCGAGGTTTAGAGAGTGAAACACCCCCTCGAAAATAATAAATTGTATCGTTTGTCACAAAAATCATTTAAACTATGAGGTGTATCCAAAAATGTTTTATATAAAAGTAATATAGTTTTTTATACGCTCTGTATAATGGCATAAAAGATAGGTTGCAAAAATCAATTTTGTAACATAAGTAGCTGTTAAGGCTTTACGTTCTTTTGCTCAATCGTTTATTATTACCATTATACTACAGCATTTCATTTTACATTTAGTTTAATAAACAGTGCAATACGCCTCTAATAGATGGCGCGCTTAATGGTTGGAGAGAAGGTGCGCGCGGTGTGTTGTTCGGTTCTGTACTTCTGTTCGTTTCGTTCGTTATTGTAAGCATTAAGAAAGACATTCTGTAAGCATATAATTTTGTGGAATAAAAGCATTTTTTAGCAAAGGGAATTCTCTACAGAAAACTTCCCTAACATAGTTTTGGTCCTTCGAGCCGGATCGGTAGTCAATTAATCGGACTATCGAAGAATTACGACAGATAAGCAGAAACGCGGTAATTGTGTTGCAACGATAGAGGTTAGTTTGGCCGGTCGTTCACAAGGCAAAAGTCCTTAACATATTCACGCATATTCAAGCAATATATAGAGCATGGAGAATCTCACCAAGTTAAGAGCGAAAAGAACAAATGTGAAAGGACAACTCACGCAGTTTGTTAAGTTCGTGAGGGATCATGGAGAAGAGCGCAAAGAGCAGTTACCAGACAGGATTAGACGAGCGGAAGAGCTATACAGTACGTACAATAAGGTTCAATCACAAATTGCAGAAATAAAATTAGAAGCAATAGTAGGAAAAAACCCACCGCCGTCCCAGGAAGAAATGCAGGCGTTAGATGCAGAGATAACGCGAGAGAGACAGGCAGTTGAGGATACTTATTTTGAGTATTTAGCCATAGCGAAACAGTTGGTAGAAGCGGAACAAACAAATGTTGTAGTTCATCAACAGGAACAGCAGGTAAACAATCTCAGTGTAAAATTGCCTACGCTTCAACTTCCAAAATTCAATGGCAGCTACGACCAGTGGTTAATGTATAAAGATACTTTCACGTCGGTTATAGATTCAAATGTTAGATTGACAAGCATTCAAAAGTTTCAATATCTCCGTAGCT